AAAGTGCTTGACCACACGTCGGACAAAGAGAGAAACGAGAAAACGACAAAAAAGGGGAGAATAAAAAAAAAAAAAAATCTTCATAATCATTATTTAAGCTGATCTCTCAACTTTGAGCATAAAAGACAATCTCTCAGTTTTCTGGACTGTGCCAGCTGCAGATCTGCACTGGTGATTACACAGTGTGATTATCCAAACTCTGCCTCTTCGCTACGTGCACGTGTATCGAGGAGGAGAGCGTCTGCATGCATGTAATGAACGTGTGTGAATATGCATGTGAACTACCTGTACATATCCTCACACACTCCTCTCTCTCTCTCTCTCTCTCTTATAATATCGACGACGTCGCTGCTTCGGCGCGTCGTCTTGTTTTTAAATCCCTTGCGTGGTTGTGTGGTTCGCTGCTCGGACCTCGCTTCCCTCATGTTAATGTCTGTGGACGCAGTCAGCTACATTCACTGCCCAGGTAAAAATGGCTGCAATAAATACATTGGCTTTGAAAAGGTGGCTGACCTTTACACAGGGCTTTGTAATACAAACAGCTCTTGCAGCATTCATGGCTCTACCTGCTGGTCGACGTTAGCTTCCTGACAGGGGGGGGGGGGGGGTTTCGTCTCTTCTCAGGTTTCTCCGCATTAACTTTGACTTTTCGTTGCATTACAGACCCGAGAGAAACCTTTTCTCTTTCAAATGGAACTCAGGACCCCGTAAATATCACGCTGTGTTATCTGAGAGCCCTCAGATAGATTCAGACGAAACAGAAAGGAACAACTTGACTGACAATTCAGCACATTCTAGAGCTACTAGGTCTTATCCAGACGAACGGAAGGATCGAACATAATTTACAAATGAAAAAAACAAACAAAAAAAACAATTTGATGAGAGGTAAAACAGACAAACACATACAAATATATAATATATATTCTTAAAAAATGGATTCTCTCTATAGTTGATTTATTTATACAGCCAATGGCTGATGTACAATGCTCACGTGCCAATGAACTTAAACATGGAAACTTGCTGTACTGTAGGTGGCATCGTTTCTTTTCCTCTCCTCTTTTTTGTACAATTTGTTTTTTTAAAAACCATTTCTTCTTTTTTATATTTTTGTGAATTTTTTTTTCTTTAAAACAGAGTTAGGATTTATCGGTAGGCATTTTCATTTAGGAGATTAAAACAACATGCGGCAAAGGAAAAGAAAAAAAGAGAACACAAAAACAAAGGCAGAATGTTAAGAAGTTTAGGAGAAGACAGAAGCAGCTGTGGTAGGAGCGGTAGAATCATTTGGTTATCTTCATGGTTGGTGCACTACTCTTTAGTTTCTCTGCATCTCGACTTCCCTCAGTTCAATCCTCGCCGAGGCGTTCACTGGGGCGGTGAACATTCTCAGCACAAGTAAAAGTTGATTTTGCTCAGCTGCCACCCACACAGCGACGCCTACGACAGCACTACTCCTGTTTAATATCTCTCTCTCTCTCAGTTGTTTGCTCTTCCTGTCTGCTCCCGTTATCGTGGAATGGCTGAGAGGGGTGGAGGTGGGGGTTGGGGTTGGGGGGTGGGGGGGGGTTGGTTGTTGGATGGGGTGGCTGATGAAGAACGATGATGATGATGATGATGGTGGTGGTGGTGGTGGTGATGATGGTTGCCGTGTTGTGGTTGTTGTTGTTGTTGTTGTTTACATGGTCTGACTGTTTACATGTTCCGATTGACAGGCGTGACGTAGTTGCGGGGGAACATGCCCGTTTGGCCGTGGCAGCCTCCTTTCCACCAGTTGGGGTCAGAGTTGTCGAGGACTTGGATGAAGTCGCCGCGCCGGAAGCCCAGTTCTCCTTCCTCCTGGGGGTCGAAGTCAAAGAGCGCCTGCACGTACGTGGGATGCTGCGTGAGGAGGAGACGAGAGGTTGAGGGGCAGGTCGGCAAAGTCATGATACAAACACAGCAAGTTTTTTTTTTAGTGAATCTAAAAGTTCTGCAAAGTTTAACAGAAAAACCCCAAAAAAACTACTGATGTAATCTACTGGATCTCGGAGGAAGGGTTGGGTACAGGCAGAGGAAGAACCCATTAACTTTTGCAGTGGATTGAATCAAGAGGGCAGAGCCAGGATCAGTTTCCCCTCTCGCTCTCTTTAACATTAGTGCTCGTCTAGTTTGTCGTTTTGCAGCAGGGGAATATTTATCCCTTTAAATCAAAGGGGGAGGGAGGGAGGGAGGGAGTGATCCAGAGTGAGTGTCTGGACGAGGAGCTGCTGATTCATGTGTCTTATACATTCAGCCATTGTTTGGTATTTGAAGCTTCACTAACATCACTATCATTTAAAAAAAAAAAAAACCTGTTGAATGGATCCGGTGACTTCGCTCTGAGCCGACGAGACGACTGAATGTTTGCTGCACGTTTGACGTTGAGGGTTTTAATGTTTTTCTCTTCTGCCAATTTACGAGAGAATCCACTGGAAGAAGCTGCACTCAGTGTAATGAGAGACAGAGCACTTCCACCAACAACATTAAAACAATAGAATTACGTGTGGTGAGGCTGAAACCAAACATTCTCCTGCTGCAGCAGAAAGATTCACTCCCCCACAACTGATGTAGACTAGAGGGAGGGGGGGAGGGGGTATGGAAACCAGCACATATGTCTCTGCTACGTCACATGTTCACCTTGACATACTTTATATACTTTTATGATTCTGTAATGAGTCAGTGAGAGTCATCCTTGTTTTCCTGCTCTTACCTGGGGGACCTGCTCTATGTCTCGCAGGAAGATTTGCTGATTGCGGGAGACGGAGGTGGAGCGGTGATAGTCCACCAGCTCGTTGAGGGAGTTAAACTTCACCACCCATAGGAAATACTTTCCAGCCCCGTCACGAAGAACCTTGAAGTGTTGGACGTCATTCCCAAACCTGTGGAAGGTCACGGAGAGGAAAGCGGTGAGGGGGGGCGGATTTTCAGTTTATGACAGATTTGAGAAACTCAGGATGATGCAGAGAGTAAATGAGATCCAGAGATAGGAGGACATGAGCTCTGCCGGACACTGGCCACCAGGGGGCAGCACCGAGGATTCACAAGAAAGGGGAAGTGGTTGTGACTCAGAAGCACCAAGTATGGAAACTCATTATCCTGAGCAGCTGTGAGGAAACGCTCCTCTGATGTATGAGGAATAACTGTGAACTGTATTTATAGAGAACGCAGTGAGTGTGAATCATGCTAACGCCGGTGCTGCTTACTTCACGGAGAGAGAGAAGTCCCCCGGTGCACTCTCGCTCTCTCTGATGAGGAAGGCCCCGTCGTGCCTCTGTTTGTTGAGCATCTCCTCTGCTTTGGCTCGAGGAATCTTCCCGAAGAACCACCTGGAGGAGGAACACGACAGGTTCAGGTGAGAGGTGACTCAGATCAGAAAACCACGGAGGCTGCAGAGTCACTGTCATCGACTTAATCAGGGGAAATGTGGAAATGGAACAATCACTCTATTTTTCATTTATTGTAATTGGTGTGGTGACGACATCAAGCTCAGAATGAATTGAGCAAGAGGCAGCGTACACTTTGACTTTGGTCATCCCACACAACCACTCACAGCTCTGAGCATGTTGGGCAAACTGAAAGAGTTTCAAAAACAACCACTTCCTGTTGACTGACAGGTTTGAATTAAAAGGAAAACCTGAGATAAAATTAGTTCAATCATTTACAAACTAAAGCTGCTGTCGGACGAGCGCGGCACAGTTTCCAGAACGTGCGACAGGGAAAAAACAAAAGAAGATAAATATCTCAGGTCGACAGGGTGTCAATGAGCTGTCAACAAAAAAGGTGCGGTAACAGAATTTCTACGTCATGTCCTGCCCCCGGCTGAATATTCCCGAAATGTGGTACGTTAACCTCTACCAATAAAGTTTTAAATCTCACCAAACTCATCATATTCAACTTCACACTCAATAACCGACAGAAACTGAAACTTAAACCAAACCGAAGGTTTTAAAAAGGATCTAACATTTACTCCGACCGGCCTTTGGTTCATTTCGAAACCTTTAAACCTTCCATGAACTCACAATCTATTGAAGCTGCACTGAACGTCCACACACCAGGAAGTAGACAAGGTCATTAAATGCAAGTGGCAAGAACGTCATCTATCTTTTACTCTATAGAGCAACTCTGTTCCAGGATCTATAACTTGGAAAGTGAAAAGAATAAAAAGTGAAACGTGTTCTTTCTAATCACCTTGTAAATGGCACACGTGTATTTTTAGCTGGAGGTGCGCTGCTCGTACATCGCAGAGCGAGAGCCTGACAGAGGGAATATGTGAGCGTGATAAAGATGGATAGAGAGAGGGAGAGGCAAACGGGAGACAAAGCCAGTAAAAGCTCTTCACTCGTGTAAATAATTAAAAAGTACAGTCAGCCAAAAGATGACATCCAGTCTCTTTTACACGTAGGTGAAAATCAATAATGAAATGGTCAACTGTCTTAATCTGCTTCGCATCTGAGCCTGGAAACACAGCGGCTCTGCACTTGTTTGATAAGAGTGACAGCAGACAGCGGACACTCATGCTGATTAGGTCATTTCGGTCACGGCGTGGCCTTCGCAGATTCGTCAGGCTCCCATCACATGTCCCCGCCCCTTTCAGAACAAAAACATCAGCGTCGTCCACCAGTGTCGAACGTAACGTGGAAAATCAACTATAGGTGTTCTGCCCCTGTCGTCTTTGCTAGCAGCTGCTCGCCGCGTGTAAGCACAGGGTGTGCGAGTGGTGACGTGTCTTCAGGCTCGTTAGTGAGGACGTGGATTAAAACTGTTACCGAACCGAAACGCTCGTTTGGACAGAGATCGTTTTAGTTTAGCGGCGTCGTATCGCGGAGTGGGTGCGGCCTCACACAAACTTAAGCGTCAGCAACAAAACCACAGTTGCTGGTGGATCGGTGCACGTACAGAAAGCTCTCGGGCTGGGAGGAGAGCCGGACTGTATTGTGCTCACAGCTGTGTGTGTGTGTGTGTGTGTGTGTGTGTGTG